TGCCAGCTTATCCAGGGAAGGCGTACTAGGGAAGACGGCTATGGTTCTATTAAAGCGTTTGCGATGTACGGCTATCAGAAAAGCATCCATCTCACAACACAGTCACCCTCGGCTTTCAGCATCTCTGAAGTGATGCCATTCATGCCTGGTGACTGACTTCAGCTTCAGAGATGTCCTCGATCTCAACAGGTAATGGGTGTAGGTGTTCATCAAAGACTAATGCTACTGAGGTATGGCTTGAGCGGTTTAAGACTTTTTGAAAAGTATTCTGCCCACCTGACAAGCTTGTCCTCCCCCTAAGACAGTGGTAGGGTCCCATCCTCCGCATTAATTAGGACTGTGCACTTTTGAGCGGCCGCCGGTCATCTTCCTGGAGATCTGTTAAGCTTTTGTCCCAATTGTAAAAAAAAAGTCCCTGGCGGGTAGTTCCCGGGCTGTTTTTGACACTTTCAGCCGTGGGACACCCCGCGGCTTCCGGGCTATTTTTCTTTGGCCTGTCCGGGACTCAAGAAGAATTCAACTTAAGTTCTACGCGGGCCACGCTGACATAAAATTCAGGACGTCAAGTTAGCGCTTTATTCTGCCTGTACACAGACGCTGGTAAGGCACAGGTGTGAGCTTATGAAGGGTCTAATATTTTTTTGAACAGATTGTATCATTTATCAACATTCCTATCAGTGTTCAGAGGTACAGGCGCCCATGCTATATACTGGTTAGTTTTTGCATAATTTGCATTATATTTTGGTGTGATCAATACTGGGATGGTTTATTCTAAATATCTAGCCTTCAAAACATGTGTATAGTACAAATGTATGTGTATTGTATCAAAAGTATTGTTGATACCATGAGATTTATTGAGATATTGACGAAAAACAGATTTTCAGTAATGGCGGCCTAAATTTCAAATTAAGCACAAAAATATCTATTTGATCTCCACTGAAATGGCCTATCCTCAATAGTTATTCCAAAAAACATGGGGAAAGACACCAAAGATATTATAATATCATATGTAGTTACTGAGATATTGGCGGAAACAGATTTTCAGTAATGGCCACCTTGATTTGCCTATTGTGCGGCTTTAATTTGCATATTCAGCACAAAAAAAACTGGTTTGATCTTTACTGAAATGGCTTAATTCCATTCGTTATCCCTCAAAACATGGGGATAGACACCAAAATTATTCTGATACCATGAGTAGTTACTGAGATATTGACGAAAAACAGATTTTCAGTAATGGCCGCCCTAATTTCCATATTGCACGGCCCAAATTTGCATATTTAGCAAAAAATAATGGTTCTATCTTTACTGAAATGGCTTAATTTAATTCGTTATCCCTCAAAAGATGGGGATAGACACCAAAATTATTCTGATACCATGAGTAGTTACTGAGATATTGACGAAAACTGGATTTTCAGTAATGGCCACCTTAATTTGCATATTGTGCGAATTGCCCAAGGATGACAGAGTGGCATCATTCAGATTCTGAAAGAGCACACCTCAGAGATATAGAAACAACAAAAAAACTTTGTATGGACCGCATTGCGCGCTTATCGGTCTCTGCCACCAGACTATGTTGTTGTTCCATAATACTGGTACATGTTACTGTATTAAATTCACGATTTTTTTTGCGTAGTTTTATGTTTAGGGTTTTCGTGGTCACTTGTGTACCGTAAACATGAATCTGCAAACGTTTTTCTCAGACAGCGAACTTTTGCTACTGCGAACATACAGTATTCTTGGCTTGTTGCTATACTGGCAAGTATGGGTTGGCAATTGATGATAATCATAATGCCCACGAAAATTCGAGATGATCCTAAAAGACTACATTACTCTGATACCGTATAGTGTATATTCATGAGCAGCATTTTATTTCCCTCCGATATTTTAAATGAAAGTGGACATGTGTATGGATACTATAAAGCATGGCAGCTGAAAGTTTAATGTTTTCCATCAGTTGTGGCCATTATTCCTGATCGGTGCCTGACAGTTCCCCCGGGAGACTTCCAACTGTATCTACTACTAGTAACCACAGAGGGCTCAAACCCCTCACACTGCATCACATGTAGTATTTATCTTCAAACTGGCCGATTGCAGAAGTGGCTTGTTCGATGGGGCTTCAGAATATATATATTTAGCAATATGGTATACAAATGTGTAATCACCAAAGGCCACTCTATAAGCTGACTATCCTTTTCCTCAAAATTTTAAAAAAGAAATGGAAAGAGATCACACAAATTGCAAAGGAAGCACAGAAAATGACAACATTGGAAGTGCTCTGAGACTGTAAGATATACCATATGGAAATCATATTACTTCGTAGCTGTTACTAGGATCAGTCAGTCGATATTTCTCTGAAAATTCAAAAACTCTTTTGTCCGTATTTCAACAAAAAGAGTAGCTCTGTGGGTTTGAAAGCTACAAGAAAAGCTTGTTTTGATAATTTCCTTCCCGGAAAACAAGCACTTGTCCACTTTGATTTATAGATTGGATTTAAATCATCTTTTTTACCACAAAGAAGAAAAAGAAGATTAATGTCTGCAATTTGATCAAAATAACCATTTATGTAATGTGTACAATTACCTTCGCAGAAGGCCTTTTAAAGTCATTGTCATAACAAAAGACTTTTGTTATTTTCCTTTCCTGCTTCTCCACATAGGTGCCTATTGCATAGTCTTTTTACATGATTGATATTTCCTATGTAGTGGATGACATTTTTTATTATGATACCTTAATGGCCTGCCATAATTAGAATAAATTGCTTCAAAGATAATGTAGACATCAATCACAATAATAGTATGATACCATATCAGATAGATGAAAAATATCATACAGGAACTTGTATAATTCATATTTCTTGTATGACAATATACAGAATGTAAGATACATGTACCAACATATCTTTTTGGTTGAAATGAAATAGAGAAAGAGTAATACTTCATATGCTATTATTTTAGCGTTGCTTACTTTACGTATAAAAACACTTGTTTCATGATGCATATTTAGAAAATGAACATTAAAATCATATCTCAGCAAACCTATTGTTACCGTAAAAAAATGTTAGATGGTAGCACAGACACTGATCATACGAATAATGTTTAAAAGGCCAAACATGACCTGTAATGTTATTACTTGTATCAGGTTTCTCCCTAAGGCTCAGTTACCCCATATAGCCCTCTAACTACCTCTGGGACTCACTAGTAGTAACAGTGAGAAGAGTCACACCTTTAAATCTCTCACCTGGGGTTTTTTAAGCAGGAAAGGCTTTCAATATTGCCTTACCACTTAAATGAGAATTTATTGGTGCAATGTGCAGAGTGGAAGTGAAGTAAATATTGACCAATCAGGACTCTTTTGAAAGGTCTGCTTTGCTGGTTGCTAAGTAATAGATGGATTTTTATTTTAAAAAATGTCCTGAATGTAAATCCATATAGTTTTTGACTGTCTTTTCCGTGCATTCATGCATCTGTGTAAGTCAAAATGATGCCATTTTCTCTACCTCGTAAAAAAAGTCTACCGACCATGTACAATGTGTATGTAGTAATGTACGCGTACCTGTGAATCTGAACATAAGGTCAACATTGAAGCTCAAATATAAATCAGTCTTGTTTCTTTGCAGATTATTGGTAGGAGCCCCCATGGATTCAAACGATTTCCAACAGAACACAGTCCAGCCAGGTGCCTTGTACAGATGTCCCATTTCAACCAGGACCAACGACTGTGTCCAGCTCAGGGTGGATGATACAGGTGGGTACTGCAGGCACAGGGGGCGCTACTGTACAGTCCATGTGGCAATACATATACTTCAGTCAGCACAAGATAGACTGTATTTTAGAATACTGTATATTGTGAAAATCTCAACCAAACCTGGAACTTTTTCCCTTAATCTGGAAGATGGAATGACAATGGTATATCTAGGTTGTTTTCTTCAGCTGTGCTTGTATACTTTGTTGTACAAATGTAGAAATTTGTAGAAGTATTGAAGACACCCATACTGTATTGAAGACACCCAGACTGATTCCTTTCTTTTTCTGACAATTTCAGATGAAGACATCACAGCAGAAAACAAAACCCTACAGTGGCTCGGAGTCAACGTGGAAACCATGAACAATATCGGAGGAAAAGTTCTGGTGAATTGCCTATCCTAACTTTTTTACTTCATGTTGTTTCCATTTTGTATCAGCTTATAATTGTATGTTACTTTTATAGTCAAGAGCCCACCTGAAGTTTTTTGTGTTGAAATGAAATTGTTCTTGCAAATTTCTTGCCAATGTATTGTAGTATGATAAAAAAATTTACCATGCAACAACTGCACACGCCCTATATGCACTTGAAATGTTGGCATATTGTTGTTTATGTCATACCTGGGGCATGGTGATATTTGATAAGGGTCTTCAGTACAACCTAGGGTTCTATTTGGATATCACACGGGCTTCCAAATGTTCTATAGAATAATTCAAATGTGTTTTACATGAGCCACGTACATCGCTTTCAAAACTCCTAATACCGGATTTGCACATTGAAATTGATGTTGGTTGGTTTTGGGACACCAAATTTTGGCACATATCTCATTGAAAGGCATGTTTCTTGGGGTGCTATAACATGAATAAAATGCAACACGGTGTATTCTGCATCACTCTCTGCATCTCTCTCGCTTCCAGCCCTCCTACAGATTATACAGTACACCGTGTTGTATTTCATTTGTATCAATGATTTAACAAAATGATGCACATTCCTCCCCAGACGTGTGCACACAGGTACATGCAGGTGGTCAGCAGGGATGCCAGCTGGGGCCGCGGCAGGTGCTTCCAACTGACCAATGGGCTGGAGCTGGACGAAAGCCACACCAGCAACGGGGACTGGTCGCCGTGTGAGGATTACGGAGATGGACACCAGGAGTACGGGTACTGTCAGGCTGGGACGGCAGGCGCCTTCTCCGCAGATGACAAGGACATCATTCTTGGTGCACCGGGGTCCTACTACTGGATGGGTAAGGAGTTGTCATTACAATGCTGGAGTCTTGATTTGTATGTCAATTTTTGTCTGTCCTCCTTTTTTTCTCATTAGTGTCCACAGCTCTTTTTTTTCAATCCTTCGGCATAACACACCAGCTTCTATCTAGGAAATACATATGTACATATTAACTTCTGTATCTGTATAGTTGGCATATTTGCCTTGGACATAACACACCAGCTTGTATGTATATGACCTACATGTAGTTTCATGTTTCCCTCTGTAGGTGTGCTGTTTGCCACAGATGTGACTGACCAGAGCTCAGACTACAACATATACAAGAGCCCAGAAGACCTGGAAGTAGCAGGGGTGTCAAGAAACAGCTACCTAGGTATGTTTCCATTGGACGGCTGGAACTTAGGACTGGTACAAGGTTTGGGGAGTATGGAAACAGATTGTTCATTACATTATACAGTACAGAAAACTGGAGAATTTGTGACATCAAATTACTCAGTTCAATCTTGTATTCTGTATACTGGAACTTGCTGAAATATGATGAAGAGGCTTTATTATATTTGATCATAAGTATGTAGGATAGTGGACTGGGAGATGTGCAATAAACATCCTAATCTTGAACCCCACCACACTACAGTTTGCAATCACACCATATCACCTGGCTTGGAACTATACATGTACTCATCACTCCATTATGATTGTTGTTTGCTCTGCAGCATTTTATGACTTCACGACTATTTTCATAATATTCGTTTGTCATTGCTGTGTGCTATAGTCTGTATTGTTTGTCTAATTATGGTTAACGATGTCTGTTTTTTCGATTATTGCTATGATCTGCTCTACTGGATTCTAACATCCGGAATACTTTTACTTTAGATGGTTGAACTGTGGTAACCCTAAAGTCAGTCTTGTACTCAAATTATATCTGCATTTAGATATTAGAAAAATAGACCCTTGAATTGCATTGCAACTAAATTTAACAGGGGCTGTTTTATTTTGGCTTGCCAATGTTAGGTTCCTTTAGACACAAATGGTTGCAAGTGGTGCTTTTCCAAAAACAACAAACAGAAATTATGAAACAAAGTCCTATATGTTGCATACATGAATGAATATACAGTAAGAAAGTGTATGCCCTCAAAATGATTGCCTGCCACAGTTGAACCATACCTACTCTATTGTTCCAGTGCTATGACTATAACTGTTTGCCTTCACTCTGTCCATGCCTGACTCTCTCTGTTTACTTGCAAACTTCTCTGAGTTGTGTGCTTCAACCTAACAGGGCTAGAAACCTTTAGTCAACAACAGTCAATTCCACAAAAATATATATCTTAGCTGTGCTAAATTCACAACTGTTAAAATGAATATTTCTTTAGATCTCCTTTTGTCATACTCCCCAAATGGGGGTGGGGTTTTAAAAAATGGAAGACTGTATGTCTTTTTTATCTGAAGAATTTCTGGTTGCAATAGATTTATCATCTGTTGCCTTGTTTTTGAAGATAATGTCCAAAATGCGTCAGGTTGACAGTTGAGTTTCCAGCCCTGTGGTTCTTCATACTTTTTCCTAACTTGCTTGACTTGCCATTGGACCTCCCTCCTTTGCCTCTGTCTAACTGCTTCCCTCAGCTGGAGTACCTGTAATACCTGAACATGAAGGTAACAATACCACCTGTCAATACTGGGCATTCTCTCTGTCTAAACTCCAACCCTAAACTGTACCTTGCATGTACCAAATGTACCAGTAAACGTCTTCTCTTGTCATTGTAGGGCTTTAAATACTGGCTTGGTGCATCCAAAATTGGAGCTGTGCTCCCAATTTTTTTCAGTGGGTGCACTGGTGCACCCAAATATTTTCAAAGGTTTATGTATGATTGTACAGATATTAGATGTATACAAGTATACTGCATATTCTTGACATCTAAGTCTCAGAAAAATAATAATTTCTTTGTTATTTAAGATTATTTTATATGGTGCATTCAAAATGTTTTTGTGCACCCAATTTTTTAGGTTGAGTGCACCAGTGAACCTATGCCCAAAAATGAATTTCGAGCCCTGCATTGTATAAGCTAAAGAAAGGGTGTGGTATCAACAGATACATAAAGAGAGACATTTACATCTCTTAACAGAAAGAGCAACACATCCAAAACTCTTTATTTTTGGATGTGTTCTTCTTTTACGTAAGAGTAGTTTTGTTAACGCAGGGTACAGTTCATATCACAATGACTTGTGCTGTTAACTGGACTGTTGTCGTTTTTTGTCCAATCATGACTATCCTATCCTCTCTTATAATTACATTGACTGTTTTATAGTTTATCGGTTGTTGTTGATGTTGTGGTTTGACAGAGCATGTGTGACCAATTATGTAGGCTTGAAATGGTGTGAAATTTAGAAAATACAATAGTAAGGAACTGACTCGTAGTTTGCATTAAAGGACCGAAGAAACATGTATAAATTTCAAACATTGGGACTGACTGTAATGCATGCACATTGACAGTCATTCAAAGAGTCCCAACAGTTGCTTTTGTAACCAAATGGCTTTGCCACCATTTGCTTAGTCTACCAGCAAATCAGCGCATCAAAAAGTCAAGATTCCAAAATATATTTCAGGCTGGCTAGAACAGTGATTACAGTATAATGTGTCTGTACGTGTCAACATGTTCTGTCATACATGTACCATCCCTGTTTATTACTCCGTGAAGGAGGTCAGGACCTCCGGACGGAGTGTTGTAATCGGCTGATTTTTCATGTTCGCAGTCAAAACACTGGGTTCTCTTTGTGTAATCGGCACGCAATTTTATGCGCCGTCTGCGGGCATGCCCGTGTTGATGCACGAATGTGTATTTTTGCCGTTGCTGCTTTCGCGGTCAATGTAATATCGCAGACGCACCCCTACAATTACGAGGCGAATTGGAATGGTCCAGAAAAACGCGTTGTTTGGAATAGCAGTGGGGTTCAAAAAAGTTCATGCAGATACGGGGTGGTTTTTATAAGTGGTTCCAGATGTTTTTGCCCATGGTTAAGAGATGCCAAGTTTTTTGGAAGATGTTCGCAGCCAAAACGCATTCTCCCGTACGTCGCATTTCTGTGTAATTTCGCATGTGGTGTTGCATTATGTCCGGGATGATGCACGTCTTTTTATTTTTACCGTAGCTGTTTTGATATTGGAGTAAATGCTTATTTTCGAAACATCCCCATTTCTTTGAAATGGTTTCGTCCGTTTATGCAACTGTTACTGCGCTAATGACGACCAGTCGCGCTGTCCTGATACACCGCGAATGTGCGAGTGTTCCCTGTAGACAGTCCCGGGAGTCATTTTTTTGCACATTCCAGGAGCCAAACCATAATACGTTCATGAACCGAGTCCAAAAACCGAAACGTGAAAATCGGATGATCGGACCTGATGTACATTTCTCTTTCTATAGATTGTATACACAATACACACATCTTTAGATAATCTGGCCATGGCAGGTTAAAAAAGTAACCCTGAATCATACTAGATTAGCGTAAATGCATGTTAATGCGTTCAAAACAAGAAAAAAATTGTTTCCGGGTATTAATCTCTTGAATCACGGCGCTGAATATTGACGCAAAAATATTTCGGGCATCGCGCGCCCTTCCCGCGTCACGTGTAGGCATCTCGCATCTCTGATTGGTTGTTGCGTCTTAAGATGACTGAGCCGACGCGCGTTCAAACAATTTTTCTTTGTTCGATTTATCACACTTCACAGAGAATTGTCGCCAATGGCTACTTCTTTTTGTTGCAATATATAATACTTCACGGAGAATTGTCACCTATGGCTTCTTGTTTGTTATTGTTGCCATCCCTGTTTCATGTTATTGTACTCAAGCCTGTGTTTGTATCATGAGGTCCTTCCAAGACCTTTTACAAGTACATGTGAAAATAGCTGTTACCCTTGTCTTCTTCAGACATCAGATATGGTGTCACTTTTGATCCCAGTGACCCCAAGTCGCTGCCTTTTTATCCCAATTTTGTTACCCCAGTTTTAGATGGTCAGTGGTCAGTCCCTTTCTTCATTGTGTATGACTGACCACTAACCTTATGAATTATCCCCAAGCCTATCAACTGTTTCTATCCATAGTGTTCTCTCTTCATCCATCTTTCTTGTTCTCTCTTGTTCTGTCCATCAGCTTCAAAGATCCCGAGGAACAGCTACCTAGGTAACCCTCCATTCAGGCATGGTGTGCGACATGCAATGCAATGCATGACCTAGGGGGACCTGCGCAGGGATTGGTTCCCCTTTACTAG